GAAAGAAAATGAGAAAGGGGAAGATAGTGGAAGTAAATCAGGAGGAGGAGAACGATCGTGGGAGGGAAGAAGGAGAAAATGAGAAAGAGGGACGAAGGGAGGGAAGGAGAAATTAAGAAAATGAGAAGAGGAAGAATAGGTGGGAAGAAGATGAGAATGGACGAAGATGGGAAGGAAGGAGAAGAAGGAGGGAGAGGAGAAAGAAGAATGAGGAGGAAGAAGAAAAAGAAGATAAGAAGAGGGGAAGGAAAAGACATCGAGAAGGAAAATGAAAGGAAAAGGACATTGAGAAGGAGGACGAAGATGAGAAGGAAGAAAGGAAGAGGGAAAAATATAAATGATGAGACGGAGATGAGGGAGAAGAAAAAAAAGGAGAAATATGCAAAGAAACGAATACGACGGAGATGTAGATGAGAAGACGGAAAGGGAGTGGATATAAGAGAGAGAGATAGAAGGTGTAGAAGAGGAAGCACAGAAAGCATCCGTTACAGCGATACTGTAGTGGATGCAATTGCTCTGAATAAGGACAGAGTTAAGGCTCAGAGCTGAAGTTGTTTGTGTTTTTGGTTGTGGGCCTATGTATATATGTGTGTGTGCATATATACATACATGCATACATACATACATAAATATATATATATATATTATATTATATATATATATATATATATATTATATATATGTATATATGTATATATGTATATATGTATATATATATATATTATACATATATATAATATATATATATATATATATATATATATATATATATATATATATATATATATATATATGTTCCATGTAAGACGTCATCTGTTTGTCCTTGGCTCTGACCCGCTAAGCAGCCCACCGAGTCCCTCCATCTCCTCCCTTCTCGCCTTTCGCTCAATCGCTATCAGGTGTTTTCCCTTTTTACGTTCCCCTTCAGCTACTTTTCCAATTTTTTTTTATATATGTATATATATATACATATATGTGTGAATATATATATTGTTATTAATGGCTTTAATATTGGTTTATATAACTTTAATGCATTTGCCAGTGATATAATTACCACCATTTATATCAACTAAAATATCATCACCCTCATCGTTCCTTTAACCATATCACCCTTACCATTATTTTCACCATTACAATTACCCATTGTTACGACGAAGTACCCTCCCCCCCAAAAAAAAATGTATATATTGCCAGAAAGACAAGGAAAAAATAAAGATTCATAATTAAGAGAGGCAGAGAGAGATAAGTTCTGGCAACAGCTTCGGGCAATATGTTAATTGGCGCCATCTTGAATTGTGTATTTGAGAGCACGATGGTGGCCTTTGTTTGATTTGTCTTTGTTTGTCTCTCTTTTGTGTTTGTTGCCGGTGGGGTTCGTGTTTGTTGGGTTGTTTGTTTGTTTGTGTTTATCCAATTTTTTTTTATGTATGTTTCTGTGATTATTTGTATTTTTGTTTCTCTTCTCTCTCTCTCTCTCTCTCTCTCTCTCTCTCTCTCTCTCTCTCTCTCTCTCTCTCTCTCTCTCTCTCTCTCTCTCTCTCTCTCTCTCTCTCTCTCTCCCTCTTCTTTCTCTCCCTCCCTCCCTTCCCTCCCTTCCTCCCTCCTCTCTCTCCCTGCCCCCCTCTCTCTTGCTCAACACCCTTCCATTATTGCTCTCCTTCCTCTATCTATCTGTTTATCTGCCTTTCTCTCATCTCCTCTCGTCTCACATCGCCGTTCGCCCCCTCCCCCTATCCCCTCTCCCCTTCGACCCCCCATCCCCTTTGCAACTTTCCTTCCCTTTTCCTCATTTCCTCTCTTTTCTCTTTTCCTTCTCTTCCCCTCCTTCGTTGTCATTTACTTCACTAACTGCGTCATCTCTTACATCATTGCTTACGTCATCACCATCACCTACGTCACCACTAACAACAGTTACATCATCACGCCGGATACACCACCATCTGCGTCATCATCTACGCCATCACTGCCATCAGTTCACCACTACTTGCGCCATCACATCACCGTCATCGGTTACATCACCACCTACGTCACAACTCACGTCATCACTACCATCAGTTCACCACCGAATATGCCGTCACTTGCATCGCTATCCATAGTTACACCATCACCTACGTCATCACTATCGCATCAACATCTACGTCATCACCTCCGTCATCACCCTCGTCGCCCTAGTTCAAAGCGAGTCCGGCGAAGCATATTGCGTTTCGGGGCGCGCGCCCGGCGCAGGCGAAGGCCAGCGCGAGGCGAAGCGGGCCAGCGCGAGGCGAAGCGGGCCAGCGCGAGGCGAAGCGGGCCAGCGCTCGAACACTCGATGGCGTCAGATTGGGCCTGTGGGCGTGTTGGAAAAGGGGGGAGGGGAAGGAGGTTGAGGGAGTGTTGGGGAGGGAGAAGGGAGGTTGAGGGAGTGTGTTTGGGGAAGGGAGGTTGAGGGAGTGTGTCTGGGGAAGGGAGGTTGAGGGAGTGTGTTTGGGGAGGGGAGGGAGTGTTGAGGAGGGAGAAG